TCAGAAAATCACAGTTGTCTACTATGAAAAGAGGGGCACGGTTGCCTCCACCGTTCTGCACCAGGAAAGAACTTTCAGAATGAAAACACACTCTGCATTTCTGACAGAGCCCTCCTCTCATAAGAAATAGGAACAGGAGTAGGCCATTTGGACCCTTGAACCTGCTCCCACAGCTCTCTGTGGCAAGCAGTTCCAAAGAGACTCAACCTTAAGAAGAAATTCCTCCTTATCTCGGTCTTAAATTGGTGCTCCTTTATTCTGTGACTATGCCTAAAGACTCCAGTGATGGCAAACATCCTATCAGCATTTACCCTGTCAAGCCACTTAAGAATCCCATGTATTTCAAAGCAATCATATCTCATTCTTCTAAACTCCAGTAGAATTCCAACCTGTTCAGCCTTTGCTCCGAAGATAATCGCTGCATTGCACAAACCATTCTGCTGAACCTTCTCTGAACTGCCTCTAAGAAATAAAGGCACCAAAACTGCTCATGGAGTACCCCAGAAGTGGTCTCACCAGTACCTTGTACAGTCGCAGTAAGATTTCCTTACTCTTCTACTGCAACCCCCTTGAAATAAGGGCCAACATTCCATTAGTCTTCATAATTACCTGCTACACCTGTGTGCTAGCTTTCTGTGTTTCAAGTACAAGTAACCCCAAGTTCCATTGTATTGCAGCTTTACGCAGTTTGTGCCATTTAAATAATACTGGTCTTTCGTTCTCACTTCCAAAATGAAAAACTTCACATTTTCCCACTTTATATTCCATTGCCAACTTTTTGCCTACTTACTTAACCTATCAATATTTCTCTGTAAACTGTTTGTATCCCCCTTGCAAATTGTCTTTCTCCATATTTTGTGTCATTTGTAAATTTGGCTATAGTAAATTCACTTCTTCCAAGTTATTAATATATATTGTAAACAGTTGCAGTCCCAGCACTGATCCCTGCAGATCATAGGTCACCAACCTAAAAAAGAACCTCTTATTTTCATTTGCTGTTTCCTGCCCATTAGTCAATTCTCCATCCATGCCAATACACTACCTCCTACACCGTGAGCTCTTATGTTATGACTTAATCTTCTGTGAGGGACCTTGTCGAATGCCTCTGGAAGTTCAAACACACCTACCAATTCACTCTGGTTGATACTTGCTTGAAAAGCACTAATAAATTAGGCACGGATTCCCTTTCATGAAGCCATGCTGACTCTGCTTGATTAGGTTATGATTTTCCAAATGTTCTGCTATTACTTCCTTAATAACTGCTTCCAATACTTTTCCAACAATAGGTGTTGGGCTAATCGACCTATAGCTACCCGCTTTTTGCCTCCTTCCCATTTTGAATAGAAGTGCCATATTAGCATTTTTCCAATCCTCTGATACTTCTTCACAGTTCAACAGTTTTTGTAAAATTACAACCAATACGTCTATTGTCTCTATCTCTCTCTTTTAGGATCCTAGGATGCAAGCCATCATGCTAGGGGACTTATTTCCCCTTAACCCCATTAGCTTTTCTAATACCACTTCTTTTGTGACAGTGATGGAATTTAATTCCTACCCTGTTTTCTCTGGTATTAATGGGATGTTCAAAGTATCTTCCACCGAAAAGACTGATGCAAAATATCTGTTAACTCTTCTGCCATGTCCTTGTTCCCATAGCTGTCTCCCCAGATTCATTCTTCAAGGGGCTTATGTTCACTCTGACCTTTCTACTTATATATCTAAAAAAATTCTTATAGTCAGTTTTTATATTCATCGCTAGTTTACCCTCAGAGTTTATATGATTTATCTTTATTTTTGTTTTAGTCCTCCTTTGTTGGATTTTGAATTTATCCCAATCTTCAGGTCTATGACTGAGTTTAGCATCCTTGTATGCTTTTTCTTCCAGTGTAATACTCCTTGACTTTCTTCATTTGCCATGGTTGGTTTATTCCTCTCTCAGAATCTTTTCTCCTTACTGGGGTGTAATTTTGCTGAGAGTAATGAATGTTTGCCACTGATTGCCTACTGTCATTCCCATTAATCTATCTGCCCTGTTCATTTTAACTACCTTTATACTCATTTCATTGTAATTCCCTTTTACTCTGAGGCCATTATTGAACCTGCTGCCTGGTTGGCTCCATTGCTCTCAGAAACTATCCCTAATGCAGTCTATGAATTTGTCACCATAGTTATCCTTTTCAATTTGATTAACTCCCTTAATATGAAGATTAAAGTCATCTATCAGTCATCTGGCATGGTGGCTTAGTGGTTAGTATTGCTGCCTCACATCACCTGGGACCCAGGTTTGATTCCACCCTCGGATGACTGTCTGTGTGGTTTGCACATTCAACCTGTGCCTGCATGGGTTTCCTCTGGGTGCTCTAGTTTCCTCCCACATTCCAAAGATGTGCAGGTTTGGTGGATTTTTATGACTTTTTTGGTACAATATGACAGTTACATATTCTGTCCCTTTTATTTTCTGGTAACAATCAGCCCATCACTATCTGCAATCCTACCTTCGATTTTATAATTTGCTATGCATCTGAACCTATCCTCCCTTGTATTTAGTTTAAACCTCTACCAACAGCCCTAGTTATGCAATTCACCAGGACTCTGGTCCCAGCGGAACAGCTCCCTCTTTCCCCAGTATTGGTGCCAATGTCCCATGAATTCAAACCCATTTCTCCCACAACAATCTTCAAGTCATGCATTTACCTCTTTAATCTTGTATCCGTTTGCTCGTGGCTCAGGAAGTAATCTGGAGTGTACTATCTTTTTGGTTCTGCTCTTTAATTCAGCCCTTAGCTGCTTATATTCCCTTTCCTCTTTTTACCTATATCGTAAGTACCTAGGTGGCAACTGGATTGTTTCCCTACCTGTCCCAAGTTGATGAGATATCCTGAACCCAGGAACAAGGCAGGCAACACAGCTTTCAGGATTCTTGACCTGGCCATAGAGAAAGGTGTCTATTGCGTGGACTCTGCTATCCCCAATTACAACCACATTTCTCTCTTCTCCTGCACCCCACCTTTGAATGACTCCCTGTATCATGGTGCTACGGTCAGTTTGCTCATGGTCCCCTCAGCCCCTGCTCTCATCCACACACGTGGAGCAAAAATCTCAAACTTGTTACAAAAGCTCAAGAAATGGGCAGCTCCCTTGGTTTGTTTAAAAAGAAGTTGGAGTCAGAGTGGTAATCTGCTGAGATACTTGTGTGTTTTTATTGGAACAGAAAGAAGAGTTATAATTGACTCCAAACATTAATTTTCTCTCTCTCTCCAGCACACTATTTCATTCTTTATTTCTCTACCCCTGTCATTATCTTTATGAAGCCGAGGTCAATGTGACCTACTCTTATAAAATAACATGTTGGACCTGAGTGAGTTGGGTCTGCTAGCGACGAATTAAAAGAGAGGGGGCTTCGAGACCATAACACTTACGTTGTTGAGTCACATCTCTGTCACCTAATTGGCAGCCCTGCTCCAATCGTTTAAACTGAGATGCTGTCCAAGAAATTTGCGCATAAATAGCATTTGTAAAGGTAGGAGCAAAATACTGCAGATGCTGGAGTATATAAAACAGTCAAAATAAGAAATCTGCTGGTCGCATTATCCATATATTAAAGCAGAATTGTACACTGGAATAGGAAAGCTAAAAGGTCAATTCTTAAAATATAACTCGAAATACTTGACTAAGATGAGATAATTTGGAGACCCCACGCAAACAAGTTGGGCAAAACGGCCCTCTGCCCTATAAAAACTATGTGAAGAGATTACCTAGCCTCTCTGCTCCTATGATGCTGCTTGGCCTGCTGTGTTCATGCAGTCCTGCACCTTGTTGTCTCGGATTCTCCAGCATCTGCAGTTCCTACTATCTCTGAAGAGATTATTGCTGTCAATCTCTTAAAATCAGGGACAGTTGGCAAACTTAGTAGAGGCGCCAGAATTTAGACAAATCTGACCACCAAATACATAGAAGAGGTCGTTCGAGAAGTCTTTGTAATTTCCCTCTTTGTGCAGGAGGAACTCATAATTTTTAAACGAAACTTTTTATTTCTCTCTACAGAAGCTGTTACTGTCTGATGAACGACCACACTGTTCTGAATAGAGACA